CTGTGTATTAAATTCATAGTTGGAATTCATTTTCTTTCAGAGCTTGAAATTTGTTATTCCAATTACCTTCTAGCTTTGAGCATCAGGGTTGAGAAATGAGTTGAGATCCACAGCTATGTTCATAGCAGCTTAATTCACAATAGCTAAACAGTTTAACCAACTACATGCACTTCTATAGATGAATGGATAAAGAAACTCTGCTATATATATATATAATGGAATGCTACTTAGCCTTAAAGAAAAAACAAAATTATGGCATTTGCAGGTAAATGAATGAAGCTGGAGAATATTACGGAGAGCCAAATAAGTCAATACCCCATAAAACAAAGACTAAATGTTTTCTCTAACATATATATGCAGATCCATAATGAGAGAGGGACAAGGGGAAAATGGTGGAACTTTGGATTGGGATGAGAAATTGAGGGCAGAAGGTAGGATGGGGATGGGAAATATGGAGCAATGAGACAAACATAATTACCCTATGTACATGTATATTGCACAAATGGTGTGACTCTCAACTGTATACAACCAGAGAAATGAAGAGTTGTGCTCCATTTGTGTACAACAAGTCAAAATACATTCTGCTCTCATGTGTAACTAATTAGAACAAATGGAAAAAAAATAAAATCTCCTTTGAATTATATTGATATTTGTATAATCATTATGTCTTTTTTTAATTGTTACTGGAATTTCAACCCAAGATAGTATATCACTGAACCATATTTTAATTTTATTTCTTTTAAGACAGGATCTCACTCTTCCCCAGGCTGGCCTCTAACATTCAAAACTGCTTCCTCAGTTCCTGAGTATCTGGAATTGATGGTGGAAGCTGCCTCACCCAGCTAGGCTTTCTATATTTCAATGCCTTTTTTAGTTTCAATTGCTTTTATCTCTACATTGCATTAGAAGAAACTTTTCAGATCTTCTTCAGATTTCAAAATATTTCAAAATTCTTTCACTTTCTTTTGTTTAACTCACTTTTTGAATTTTTACATAATCATAGCAATAACAGTTATTTTAGAAGTTAAACTTGCTTTACCAATGTACTGGTATTTTATTCTTTAAATATTATTATTTTTCTTGTATGATTTTTTTCATAACTTTCAGAATTCGAAATATAATTTCCTGTCTGTGTAATTTTACTGAGGGGAATTAAACTGTTTTGTCTAACAACTTCCATTCATGGAGAATTATTTCTATCTATGTCCTCTTGTTTTGGATTGTAGTTAATGTTAAGAAAGGCTTTTGTGTGTGTATCCTTCAGAGCTTGTTTGAGCGAGTTCTCTTGATCAACTTTGCTTTAAATTTTACCAGTTTCATTGAGTTGTCAAACATTTGCATTCACTTTTTTGTTATAAAGCATTTTATTCTAGGATTATGCAAGAAGATATCTGTTAATTCTAACTCAGACCAGTGATTTGTGTATCTCAGAATGAGAAAAGCAAAAGTAAAGTAACTAACATTTAGTGAGTAGATAGCTTCCTTCCCTTTTTAACTGGGTGGATCTTTTTTTAGATTATTCTGGCATAGACTTGAGGATATAGAAGAAACCTGCATTGCAACTCTGACCTTCTTTGCCCAGAAGTTAAGACCTTATCTTCTGACTCAAGAGACCACAGTAGCCCAACAACTAGGGAATTGGGGCATAACAATATCTTGTGTACACAATTCCAGATGCTATCTTCCCCTCCAGTTTTACATTTCTTTGCTTTTTTTCCCAAGAGAATACTTTTTATTTCATTGTAAATGAAGTTCTGCATTTGAAACAATTTAAAATATAGCTGCACATTCTCATGTGTTTTCTACTGTCATGTCTTTTTAAGCTATGTCCTAGGTCATCTCAACAGAAGCAACTGCATAACTATGTGTGCTGAATTCACACAGAGGATTTTCATGGTTGTGTGATGAATTATTGTTCTAGGATTGGAAATGGATCCAAGGAGAAAGGATTAAGGTTACACCGAATGAATAGGAATAAGAGAACAGAGATGAGACCTTGGGAGCTGAGATGAAATTTAAGTGAAGAATGAGATTAAAGGTAAGTGAAGAAGCAGGAGGAAGAATAAAGGAGAGAGAAGCAAAGGTGGGAGAGAGGACACTCAGATGTGAAGAGACAGGAGAACAGCAAGTCACACAGAACATCAGAGACACAAGGGATAATATCAAATATTCAGTGCTTTCTAGTTATTTTACATTCAATGACACTGAGGCCAGGGTAATTCAATGAAGGTGCCCCATTTAGGAGATCACCATGAAGCTCAGGTTGAATGTCCTTTTACTGCAAGAAATTTACTGTGAAAGAAAAAAAATACAGGCCCTATGTAGGAAAGTCAGAAGAGCAAGAGAGAAACTTGAGGAAGGGGAAAGGAGAAGCCCAGTACAGGCAGGAAGGGTGACAGGCCATGGGTTTCTCAGGAGGGAAGCTGAGGTTTGTGTTGGTGAGGTGGGAGCCGTCAGATGGCAAAGTGAGATTGTGTGGGGAGGGGAGTTCATGTCCGGGTGTGATGAAAGCTGTGTGTTGATGGAGAAAACCAGGAGATGTGGTGGTGAGCAGGGGGAGCAACAGGGAGAGATTTCAGGAAGAACATAAGCATGTTTGTTCCTTAAGCAGCAATGATTCAAGAAGAGGAATCCTGAGTAGGGCTTGTGACAAAGGGAAGAATCTTGGATGCCTCCAAGATAGCTGAGATGCCTGGCTGAGTTTATTTGGCATATATCTTACTCATGTTTTCCTGTGACCAGGGAGCACACCACTATCAGTGATGTGTATAACCATGTCCTCTGTCAAAGGTGGTCTCTTATTTTCTGGTCCTGGTCACTTCCCACCTATTTGGTCTCTTGACTTTCTCCTACAGTGTTGCTCTCTCTCAGCTCCCCTAACTCTCAGCATCCCCCAGGCAGCTCCCAGTGGTGTCCATCCTTTCCTCTCCCCTCCTCAGACCTTGTCTTTCACCCTCCATAGCTGAGAGCTCACTCAGGATTGCAGTGGCCTGGGGAGCTACAGATCCTCTGTGGGACTCTGACTGACCAAAGCTCCAGCAGTTACCTGCGTCCTCATCAGGAGCCAATATGCCAGAGGAAAGTTGAGGGGAAGAAACTTTGAATTCTTCTTCCCCTCCCTTTATAACTTGCCACAGTCTGGCTGCAGCAAAATAATGGGGGGGTGTGTGACGTACAACTTGTGTACGTTGATACAGCAGGAGTGGGAGCCGTTTATTGTAGGACAGGAATGGTATTTATACATTCCACACAGCTTATCTAATTAACATAAACTAGATACAGCAGTCAACCAATAAGGAATCTCCACACTTAATGGCTCGCTGGCATTACTTCACAAACCACTCCCTCTGGCAATATGCCAGGCGCCATCCAGACTTGTTTACAGACTCTAACATTTGCCAGGCACCATTCAGACTTGTTTACAGACTCTAACATTTCCCCCTTTTGTTTAATTTAAATAACGACCATAGTGGTTTTTACACAAACATCATAAATAATCTGCTACAAGCAGAAGGGGAGGATACAAAATGCCACATACCAAGCCAACTGATGGCTCCATGCAAGAAGCCCTTGGAAAAATTATACCAGCAATGACACTGTTAGCAAAGATACTCAGTTAAAATTTGTTGTAGATTACAGTTTGTTGTCTCAGTCCAGGTAAAGCAGTGTCTCAATAGATTAACTCACAGTCCAGGTAAATCACAGTCCAGGTAAGTTCTGCAGGCAGCTAGCTTAAATCATAGTCCAGATAAGTTCTGCAGGCAGCTAGCTTGATCCGAAGTCTTGTCTGGTTCTCAGCCGAAGTTTCGTCCGGTTTTCAGCAACACTGGAAATTCTTCCACGTTCCTTTTCACCAGCACTGGGACGAAGGCAGGAACTCTGGATGGCTAAAGAAAATCCTGTAGCATTCCACTAAGAAAACAACCTTCTGAACAATTTAGTACATTATCTCAAGATTTTTTACATTTGAAATAAGCCTTAATGGTTGTAGTTACTGGCCTTGGAAATGATTAAACTTCAGGGGTGCTGGCCATCTTCCGCCTGCAGCGTCCCAGGCAGCCCCAGATGGCCCGGGGAGAGTCCTGGACTCAAACTGCTTCCAGGACCAGGGAGCAAGAGCCTGTGAGACCGTGCCTCTGGGTCAGGTCTAGATTTGGACTCTCGCAGTGGCGTCCCCCTTGGGGGGGGACAGCGGTGAAGAGCCGGCTGCCGCCCCTTGGAAAGCCCTTGCTGCACCTTGACCTGCTTGCGCACGTGGCAGCCGCAGCACTGATTTATGCACCCTCCGGTAACAAAAAGTATTCAGTAATAGCCTTTTGCTGCAACTTTTTTTCTGATAATCCTTCTTCTTTTGAACTTTCTTTTTCTTTCTGACTAGAGTTCCTGGGCTTCTGTCAACACCTGCCCTAACTGCTCTTGGTTCCACTGGGGTGCCTTCTTCCCTTAGTAATTTACTTCTCACCCCTTCCATATTTTCGTCACAAAGACAATACAATACACCAAGACAAAACAAGACAGAAACATACTGTATCAATCTTTTCCATTTTCTCAAAATGGCCATTTTTCCTCTTGCCCTCTCTGTCTAGGGATGAGCAGATTTGCTCCTGTCCTATCTAGGGACGGGCAGCTTTTTTTTTTTTTCTGTCACTTACCCCCAAGTGTCCCGGGCCTCCCCGTAATGGGCCACCATGTGCCGCAGTCCAGCTGCAGCAAAATAACATGGGGGGGACGAACAACTTGTGTACGTTGATACAGCAGGAGTGGAAGCCATTTATTGTAGGACAGGAGGGGTATATATACATTCCACACAGCTTATCTTAATTAGCATAAACTCGATACATCAGTCAACCAATAAGGAATCTCCACACTTAATGGCTCGCTGGCGTTACTTCACAAACCACTCCCTCTGGCATTATGCCAGGCACCATCCAGACTTGTTTACAGACTCTAACAATGACTCCCTTGTTATGGCTTAGGTATGAGGTGTCCCCCAAGTGCTCATGTGTGATACAGTGGCAGAAGGTTTGGAGGTAAGGTGACTGGGTCATGACAGCCTTAACCCACTTAGTGCATAAATCACCAGACAGGGACTACCTGAGTGTAACTGTGGGCTGGTAGATGTGGCTGGGGAGGTGGGTTTCTGGGGACATGCCTTTGAAGTATATATTTTGGCCTTGATGAGTGGAGCTTTCTCTCTCTCTCTCTCTGTTTCTTGGTGGCCACATTCAGAGCTGCTTTCCTCTGCCACATGCTCCTGCCATGATGTCCTGCCTCACCTTGGGCCCTGAGGAGTGAAGGTGGCCATCTCTGGACTAAGAGCTCTGAAACTGTGAGACCCAAAATAAACATTTTCTCCTTGAAATTGTTCTTCTCAGGTTTTTTGGTCACAGAAGCAAAAAGGCTCAACAAAAGACCCCTCTTCCTCCTTCTCCTGCATCTGTTATATCCTTTATTTCTCTTATAGGCTCACAACATTTTAGTCCCAGAACCTCATTCCTTATTTAGTTATTTTCCTCCCTCTCTTTCCTATCCAAATCCAACTACCTTCTCCTTGCTTTCCACACTCCACGCTCAAGAGCAGCAGTCATATATTTTGTGTGATCCAGGGAAAAACAAAAATGTGGAGCCTTGTCCTAGTCATTCCAGCTATTATCACAGCATGCCATAGACTGTGCAGTTTATAACCACTAAAATATTATTTTTCTGGAGTCTGGACAGTTCAAGGTCATGGTATATTTGTTTTGTAGTGGGACCTGCATTTTGGTTCATCAAAGGCAACTTCAAAATATTTCATCACATGGTGGAAGGGTAATTTGGTCTCTCTGAGGTCCCTTTTCCAAGGCACTAATCTTATTTCTCAGGTTGAAATCATATGACTTAATCAAGTCCCAAAGACCCATTTCCTAATACCATCACATGGGTGGTTAGGATTCCAATATGCACATTTGGGGAAGACATAAAGATTCGGATCATAGCAGGTTTGGGTTTAAGAGGTTGTGGAGGGGGTGCTTTTAAAGGTACTAAAATGAAAAACTTCTTCATTCCTATGAAAGGTTATGTGTCTGTTTTTATTTAGTTTTCTAATATTGCATCCATTTAGCACAGGGATACTGTCAGGATGATTCCGGGAACTCTTAGGTTACTGAGGGGTGATGCTCACTTCATAATGACATGCAAGCTACACTGGCTGCCTGGTTCCTGTTGTCCCAGCTGCTCAAATGATTCTTATTGTTGCTAGACTGAATGGGGAAGTTAATCTCTTTTCACAAATGATTACCCTGACACTTGGCACTGAGAAATTAGAATCAAATTACATGGAGATGCATGTGATATCTGGAACAAGATTGAGCAACAGGCTCACCCTTACCAGTTACCAAAAAAAAAAAAAAAAAAAAAAAAAAAAAAACTTGGTTCAGACTCTGGATGGGAGAGCTGCACCTATTTTCTGCCCTCACACTGTTAGGTGCATGTCCCATTCTCCCTTTGTGCCTCCAAGGCAGGAGGTAGTAGCAGAGGCTGATGGCAGAAGGGGCCTGTCCTGCAACGAGACCTGACCATGCAGTGGAGGCAGGATGGAGGTGGATAGGTTGAGTCTAGAGTTGCCAAGGCCCCAGATAGTGGGGAGTAGGTGGAAGAGTGCTGCACATCCAGGTGAAATTGTGGTAGGCAGAACCCCACATAAGCCAAAGAGCCTCCTATGAGCTCCTATGCAAATTTCATTGCACTTCTCTTATGAAACACAAACTCAATAAAATTATTATAAAATTCAAGGTGGTGATCACAGAGAATTAAATGTGTTACTGCACTGGCTGCATGTCCCTTGGAGCCAGCCTTGATACATGATCATAGACTCATTAGTTGATACTATTATAGAGGACAATCATAGGGGCTCTGAAAAGGTAAATAAAGTACCCAGCGATGCCAGAGATATGAACGTGTTGGAATGGGAGAAAAGGTAGTAACGAGAACACATGAGGGAATAATTAAAAATTATTGAAATAACAGAAAAAGCTTAAGATCCTGGTTTCCTTACTCAGCACTGAATTAAGTGTCCCTAGTGGTCTGGTGAATTTTCAGTGCCACATAAGACTGTTTCATAGCAGTTGAAATAGGGGAAGATGAACACGATGGATGTTTGTAACAATGAGAGAAGTAGAAAGACTGGGCAGAGAGTCAGAATAGCTGGGGAAATGGGGAACTGAGTAGATGATCAAGATTTTGGGAGGGTGCACACTTTCTTTTTTGCAGGCAGGAGAGGTTTCTGTCTTTTGATTGAATAAGGAAGTTAGAAGAGAGGTCTGTGGGAGTAGGTTTATTTAGAACAGAAATCAAAGGACAACTTGTCTAAGAGAAAGAAATAGCACCTGCAAGTGCCATGCTGTTTCTGCTACTTCCCTTGCTCACTGCTCTCTTCCCAGGAGGTGACAGTGAAGGTGGTAAGAACTGGGGCATCTGAACAGATGAGTGAGTGTGTGTGTGGTGGCGGGGGGAGATGGTAGTTTCCTCTGCACACACCTGGAGAGAACGAGTGCCAAGCTGGCCCCATTCTGCATGTCCTTACTCAAGCCCTCTGTGCTCTCATGGAGGATGTTGATAGAGCATGGGACTCTGGGGGCCAGCAGATGTCAGCTAAGGAAACTGTGGCCCTCCATTTTTACAGATTCTGAGTCTTCCCACTCGGGCAACTTTCTTCCCCATGTCTCTTCCAGTGTTTTATTTCTGCCTATTCTATCTATTCTTTTGCCTCAGGGTTTGAGGAGCCTGTCTCCTACCATCTTATCCAGATATCATCCTTTCACAACCATTCCTGGAAACATCTGGGCTCAGGCTGGTTGGGGGAGCTGGAGACACACAGCTGGAACAGCAGCTCGGGTACCATCATTTTCCTGTATCCCTGGTCCAGGGGCAACTTCAGTAATAATGAGTTGATGGATCTGGAAAAGTTTTTCCACACATACTTCACTAACCATCAGGAATTTTACATTTCTCTATTAATGTTTAAAGGTGAGTTTAGTTCCCTTGCTGAGGAGATGAAAGGGATGAGGGGAGGGGCATCTCAGTGAACTTTTATTACTCAGGGAACAGCCTTCTCTGCTCTGATTCCAGTTCCACTCTCTTCAGCATAAGACTGCAGTCACACCCTGGCCAAGGGCTATAAGCCAGAACCTGATTCTTCAAAAACCTTCAGTCTTTCCCCTATTGAACTGCTCTCTCTTTGACTGCAGGGCTGTGTTTTATTATCTCTTCTCAGGGCATCTAGTGGCCACCCTTTTCCCCAGTCTTCAACCAGGTACCCCCAGCTTCCTCATTCCTTGGTTGACTCCTTGAAGTATTATTTTCTCTTCCATTTAATCTCCTCTGTCATCCCTGTCTAAACTGTTAAAGTAACCATGTATATTTTCCCCCTAGTTTGTTACAGTCTCAGCTCTCTCACATTAAGTCCTTCACCCCCACACCATCACTATCACCTTTGAACAATTCCCTCCCTTCCTCATCTTATCATCTCTTCCTCCACCTCCAGCTGTGACCAGTTCTTATTACTGTGAATCTCTGATCAAAGCACACTGGGATCCCTTTCCTTAAACTCCCCAAACTCTCTTCTGCATCTATTGTCTTTGGCTTCTGCTCACTCCAGTTTTCTTATTTTTCTCCTCTAATTCATTACTCCTCTTCCCCCAGATTCCTTTGATCTACAGGTTACACTAGGCTGTGAACTGCATTCTGGGAAGGCCTTTGTAGGCTTCCTGCAGATAGCAATCCAAGGATTTGAGTTCATGAGCTTTCAGAATGAAACATTCTTACCATCCCCAAAGGGTGGGGAACAAGCCCAGCAAGCCTGCCTACTACTCAATCTCAGCCCAGCCTTCAAACATACGATACATAAGCTCATCAGTGACACCTGCCCACGTTTCACCTTGGGTCTCCTTGATGCAGGGAAGACTTATCTCCAGCGACAAGGTCAGTCTTGTAGCCTATCTCAAAGAATTTTTCTATGTTAAAGTCAAATTCGGGATAAAAAGAGAATTGGATAATGAGTGACATTTCCAGAAGTGGGAACGATGTGTCTTGGTAGTCTTACATGGAGTTCTCAACATCATAGTCTATGTTAGAGTCTGTGTCTGGATGCCTTTTCTGTTCTTTGCAGTGAAGCCTGAGGCCTGGCTGTCCAGTGGCCCCAGTACTGGTCCTGGCGGTCTGCTGCTGGTGTGCCATGTGTCTGGCTTCTACCCAAAGCCCGTGTGGGTGATGTGGATGCGAGGTGACCAGGAGCAGCTGGGCACTCAGAGAGGTGACATCCTGCCCAATGCTGATGGGACGTGGTATCTCAGAGCAACCCTGGATGTGGCAGCTGGGGAGGCGGCTGGCCTGGCCTGCAGGGTGAAGCACAGCAGCCTAGGAGGGCAGGACCTCGTCCTCCACTGGGGTGGTAAGAGTGGGACCCAGGATCCAGAAGGGAAGAGGGGATCTTATAGCAGAGCATGAGGACCAGCTAAAAAAAAATGAGATTTACAAATTCCAGACCCAAAAAGAAGACAAATATTTAATTCAAAGAATGGAAGAATTTTAAATGATGGATCTGTAGATATAAAAAGATGTAGGATAGAAGAAGGATTCATCTCTGAAAAGAGATGAGATTAAAAAAGAAAAAATGATTTGTAAGGTAGACACTCAAGAAAAATAGTACAGGTTAATACAGCAAACGGGGAGTGCGAGGGGTAAAATGCGGAATGGATTGAAAACAACATCTTGGTGTCCACTTGAATCTGCAGCACCTCATAGATCCCTGGGCTTGGTCCTCTTGGCAGTGATAGTGGCCCTGGCTCTTCTGACAGGTCTTGGATTTTGGCTTAGGGAACACTGGTGAGTTCTTTGCATTCTTCTTTCCTGTCCCTCATCTCCAATGGTCTTCTTTTCTGTTTTGTCTTTTTCCGCACTTTTCCTTCTCCTCTCAACCCCATTTCCATTTTCTGCTCAGTTCTCACCTCCACCTTATGAAGGTCTGTTATTTTCTCTCTTCTCATTTGGTTCATTTAGGACATACCGTGAAGCTCCTGGCAGAGCTTTCCTTTTGAAGTGAGGACCCAGCTACCCAGATTCCCAGTCTACACCTGAACGCCAATGCAGATGACATAATATCAACTCTCTTTGTAAACCTTTGCAATTCATTTCATTACATGATCAGTTACCAATATATGCTCAATGTAATCTTGCAGGATTGGTTGTTCTAACCTGGTTTGTGGGATTTTAACTCTGAATGGAATAGGGTGTTAGCAATGTCTTCCTGGTAGATATATTGGATCATCAGATGCATTTCAGATATTGAACCCCCCTTCTTTAATTCATGGTGGGAAGCATCTGTCCTCTGTTTCCCCACATTTCAACTCTAACCCCCATATCCTAGCTTCTTTGGCAGGTAGGTGTGTAGGTTCATTTCTTCTTTTAAGTTTTTGAAAGTTTGAGAGCAAAGCACATGCTTTTTAAGTGCCTGTATCCCTGGTAAAGTGTCTTGCCTGCATGAAACATGTTGTCAATAAAAAAAAATTTGTTGAATTTAGGTAGGTTTGTATTTTTTTTAATTCTCTGCCTTCCTGACACCTGTGTTATAGTTGACACATATTTGATGCTTGACTTAAAAGTCTTGGTTGACCCGGAGACTTAATGCTTTCTTAGTTCTATAGTTTTTCCTAAGTCTCTGAGAAGAAAGGCAGTTTTGCCTCTTACCAATTCTGTTACTCAATTTTAGGAAAATATTAGCATGAAACTTTTGTTCCCAGTTCTCTAAACTAAAAGAGCAGGAGAGGATGAAGGTCCTCCATATTCAATGTGGTTTATGGTCAAGCAGCAGATTCATTACATTGGAGTTTGGTAGAAATGTAGAGTCTGTGGCCTGGTCTTAGACTTACTGAATTATAACTTTCATTTTTACAAAATCATGAGAAGATTCACAGGTGCATTTTCAGGTTGAAAGGCACCTCAGTGTGGTGATACCTGAAAAATGGTATCAGTGCATCACTAAAAAGGGAATCAAAAAAGAGGAATAAAATTGATGCCCTTGGGGATTGAAGTAGGTCCAGGTGAGTAAGGTGCATTCTCAGCAATTATGTTCTCTACAGTTTCTGCTGCAAACACTGCCATAGTGAACACTGAGCCATGCTCCCAGGGTAAATAGAGGGGTAGGTTCCTTTGAGTGTCTGTTCACAATATTTTTGTTACCTGATAAATACATAACCTTGTTTTAGTGTATTTTGTTTTAAAATCTTATTTAATATATTCTTACAAGTAATTCATTGTATGCAGTATATCTTTTTTATTTATATATGACAGCAAAATGTACTACAATTATTATTACATATATAGAGCACATTTTTTCATATCTCTGGTTTTATACATAGTATATTCACACCAAATTGTGTCTTTAAACCTGTACATTGGATAATAATGATCATCACATTCAACCATCATTAATTACCCCATGCCTCCTCCCTACCCCTCCAACAACTCGGCCCTATCTGGAGTTCATCTATTCCACCCATGTTCCCTCTCCTTATCCCACTATGAATCAGCCTCCTTATATCAAGGAAAACATTTGGCATTTGGTTTCTTGGGGGACTGGCTAACTTCATTTAGCATTATCTTCTCTACCTCCATCCATTTACCTGCAAGTGCCATGATTTTACTCTGTTTTATTACTGAGTAATATTCCATTGTGTGTATATGCCACATTTCTTATCCATTCATCTATTGAAGGGCATTTAGGTTGGTTCCACAGTTTAGCTATTGTGAATTGTGCTGCTCTAAACATTGATGTGGCTGTGTTCCCATAGTATGCTATTTTTAAGTCCTTTGGGTATAGACTGAGGAGAAGGATAGGTGGGTCAATTGGTGGTGGTTCCATTCCCAATTTTCCAAGAAATCTCCTACTGCTTTTCATACTGACTGCACCAATTTGCAGTCTTACCAGAAATGTATGAGTGTATCTTTACTCTGCATCCTTGCCAACACTTATTGTTGTTTGTATGCATAATAGATGCCATTCTGACTGGAGTAAGATGAAATCTTAGAGTGGTTTTGATTTGCATTTATCTTTTTGCTTGTGATGATGAACATTTTTTCATATGTTTGTCGATTGATTGTATATTCTCTTCTGAGAAGTTTTCCTTCAGCTCCTTGGCCCATTTATTGATTGGGTTTTTATTAATTTATTTTTTATTTTTTGGTGTTTAGCTTTTTGAGTTCTTATATACTCTAGAGATTAGTGCTCTATCTGACGTGTGAGAGGTAAAGATTTGTCCCAAGATGTAGGCTCTTTGGCTGAGAAGAAACTTTTTAGTTTGAGTCCATCCCATATAGGAATAATCTACATTGCTCTTGGATAGGCAGAATTAATATTATCAAAATGACCATACTTCCAAAATCACAATACAGTTTTAAGGCAATTCCAATCAAAATTCTAATGGCATTCTTCATTGAAATAGAAAAATCAATCATGAAATTCATCTGGAAAAATAAGAGACTCAGAATAGCTAAAGCAATCCTGAGAAGGAAGAGTGAAGCAGGTGGCATCACTATACCAAAAAGTAACAAAAACAGCATGGTATTGGCACCAAAACAGACTGGTAGGCCAATGGTACAGAATAGAGGACACAGAGACTAACCCTCAAAACTACAATTATCTTATATTGGACAAAGGTGCCAAGAACATGCACTGGAAAAAAAGATAGCCTCTTCAATAAATGGTGCTAAGAAAACTGGAAATTCATATGCAACAAAATGAAATTAAACCCCAACTCTCATCATGCATAAAACTCAACTCAAAATAGATCAAGGAATTAAGAATACAACCAGATACTCTGTGTTTAATAGAAGAAAAATTAGGCCCTAATTTCTATCATGTGGCAATGGCCCCAACTTCCTTAATAAAATTCCTATGGCATAAGAATTAAAATTAAGAATTTATGCAGTGTATCTTTAAACAAAAACATTATTTGAGAAGTGTTTAACAATTTTTTTAACCTGTTTAATGTGACCACAAATTTCCTAGGCTTCCAACCTTTCTACAATGCTATCTACCATATGTTAAAAAAAAAAGAAAATTTGTTGTAATCTCAAGAAGCCACAAATTTGGTTGTTTGTCATAGCTTTATCATAGTTGTTACTTTATAACATAACTTCATCTACCAATGACCAAATTTTATCTTTCTTTTTCCAGTGTATTGCATTGTTCATTAACATTGAACTATCAGGAAACAGCATTATAATTATAATAAAGCTGATCTAAAAAACCATCTTCTGTTATACACATCACAGCCTTCTTCAGTTTATGAATATCAGACAGCATGCTAGAGATGTGTTTGGGGTCATTTTAATTGACAAAATCAGTAACAAAGAGCACAAAGTATGAAAATCATGGCATTCACCAGCCCACACAAAGGATGCTCATCCTTTAGTGAGAAGTGAAACCTCAAGACAGAGCTTCACTTTTTTTTAACTTTCATAGGAAATGTGTTCCTCATTTAACTCACATTATGCACCACTCTCTACATATCTATGAATGTCTGCAAAAGCACTGAGAGTACTTAATTTGAGGTGATAAAATTTTCCGTATGTAGACAAATTAGAAATTCAGAAGTCCTAACTAATGGGGATTGACTAATGACCCCAACTGATAATGAGAGTTAAGACATGCATGGCCAGACTTCAGTTACTTTAAAATCCATAAACTGATGTAACAAAACAGTTCTTAGGCACCTACTATGCATTTACTATGCAGCAGGAGCATATTGAGTATAAATTATTGGAAGTAAAAAAGATCATCACTGTGTTCTGAGCTTGAAATTTTTGTCTACCCAATTTGATTCTGCAGTTTATTATTTTCATTGTTGTTTTTTTTTTTGTTTGTTCTTAGCTTCCTGGAAGGACTTGCTTGAAATGAATTCTAGGAAAGTGACTTAGCCTTAATTTGCTTAGACAGTTGAGAAGAGGCAACCCAGGAAAACAGGAATATCTAGAGAGACCAGGTGCAGGTGACAGCATGTGTAAGAAATTTTCCTATGCTCATATACTCTCTCATTAAGTGAGGAAGTCCATGGAACAGGGTAGAGGAGTGTGTGGCTGTGGAGTTGCTAATCAAGACCTCTGGAGACCAAGCAGGAAGCAGGTCTTATTTTATTGTGCAGTTACCATGTGTATGTACTTAATCAGTAGCTAAGCAGATTACAGTTTGCCACCAATGCAATTTCTGCTACTGTCCTAGCAGCAACCAATCGAGGAGTGGGCCATGGAGCAAGCACAGAGACTGCAACACGTAGCCTCATGCCCAGGGCTGTGCCCAGAGAGTAAGTGGTTTGCCGCTCACATGCCTAGCCTGGAAGGGTTGCCTGCCACTCAGACGCCCTTAAGATATGCGATGTATGCAGTATTCCATGCACTTGTCCCCACACCCAAAGATTTCATTCTGAAAAATTCATTCCTGTATTCATTTGTCCTTCCTTCATTCAACATATAATAGATTTTACTCTTTGAACAGCAAATATATTAACTTACAATAGTTCCAAAACAAAAGTTGGCTTCTTTAGATTACAAATGCAGTGTGCAGATGTTATTTAAAGCTGATCATAACTTAAGGAACATATACAGGAAGTAGCCCAGATGCAGATAAAACCCTCCATTTACAGCAAAGTTTCATCTACAAAGCTCCCTACATGAATATATTTTATTTTACTTAAAAGCGCCAAATTGGGTTTGGCTGTTCATTTCAAAGTAGAAGGTAAAGAAAAATATTTCCAACAGACAAACAGCTGTCACTGCAGGTGAGTATTCTACATCAGGCACCAGCATCTCAATTTGGAACAGAGAGAAACAGCAAATTTTCTTTTTGAAATCCTGCTGACACTTGTAAAATGTTAATATTTCACCACTAGGTGGCGCAGAGAGCTAAACCGTTAACCAAGGCTGTAAGACTGTAGATAATTGAGGCTTTCTTAGGAATAAACAAAAACATTGATTTTTGAATTTTGTGTACATGTATGACAACATAACATGACAGTAGCATACACCTCTGTGCCATTTTCTTGAAGCAGTTGTGACAGAGGCTCACTTCAGTTGCATGTCATATCCTATGTGCCTTTGTCCCTAGACTTTTCCTGCAATGTGATTGGGACACCTGAGAGAAGCTACTTAGCATTGTCAATGCTCAGATCTGCAAGTGTCAGTGTGTAACACCCCATGGTCAATCCTTGACAATTAATGAATGGGAGGTCATGAATATGTACTTTTCTTATTTTTCAGGTAGATAATTCAGAGACAAAATCAGTATAAAGAATCA